TCGATTCAATAGTTTTTGATTGTTACAGCTCTTTAGAAAGGCTGTTGACCCAATGCCCAACGCTTCTGCTTTCTCCGGGTTTGGAACCAGCAGTGAACCTGGAGGAGCTACAGGTGAAGTTAATTTCAGGGTTGTCAAAGATAACTCATGCTGAAGATCACTGTCTTTTTTTTGAATATGGACACGTTTAAGAATGTCGATCCCTCAAATGGTTCAAATGGTTGAGGACGGAATAGAAGAAGCTTTCGCTTAACGGGCTTCCGTGTCTGGTAGCAGTGGATCACCAATACCTCCAGGTAAGAACCTAGGTATATGAATGATATTAGAGGAAAAAAAAGAGTTTGGTAAATCATAATAATATGTTATCCTTAGTCCTTAAGAATAAGTCAAGTTTTCTCTTAAAGGACTCCTGGGAGGTCGCTTGGACTAGCTCAGTCGGCAGCGAATTCCAGCACTTGACAACTCTAACGGAGTAGAAGTTGTGTCTGCAGTCTGTTCTGCTATGTAGGGTCTCCAATTTCTGGGTGTTACCTCTGAGATTAGTGTTATGACTAAGCTTAAGAAGTTGTTTAAGGGGATGACCAGAAGTATTAAGGATACTATAAGTCATAAGAAGATCACCTCTAAGACGCCTATACTCTAACGGGTAAAGGTTAAGTGATTTGAGGCGCTCTTCATAAGGTTTGAATTTGAGACCCCGAACTGATTTCGTGGCTCGACGTTGTATACGTTCCAGAGTGACCTTGTCCTTTTGGAGGGAGGGAGGAAATACTATGTTTCCGTACTCTAAGTGGGGACGAATAAAACTGTTGAAGATTATGTGGAAGGTTCTACCGTCAAACTGGCCAAAAATGCGCTTCAATGTTACCAGTGCAAGGTTTGCTTGAGAGGCGTTTTTGTCACAGTTCGCATACGATTTCAGATCGTAGGGTACCAACACTCCTAAATCTTTTTCAACTTGGGAAACTTCTAGAGGTGAGTTACCTAAGTTATATCTATAGTCTGCAACATGCCTCAGATGGACTACCTTGCACTTTGAAGTGTTGAAGGTAAGTCCGTTGTCGTCTGCCCAACTTTGAAGTCGAGTCAGATCCTCCTGAAGAACTAGTATATCTTTATGATTACGTATCTCTCTCCAAAGTTTCACATCATCAGCAAAAAGCAATAAGTCAGATGAAACTTGTTGAGGAAGATCGTTAATAAAAATCAAGAAGAGAAGAGGTCCTAGTATTGAGCCCTGGGGGACCCCACGAAGACATTCCATAGCCTGAGAAAGAGTGAAGTTAACCCTGACCTTAAAGTGTCGGTTTTCTAAATATGAAGAGAGCCAATCAATTAAAGGGGGTTTTATACCCAATCGTCCAAGCTTCTTGATAAGACATGCATGGTTGACCCTATCAAAAGCTTTTGAGAAGTCCAGGTAGATGACGTCAACCTTCCCCTTACGATCAAGGATGGTTGTCCATCTATCCACCGCAGTCAGCAGGTTGGTCATACAAGAATGACCTTTTCTGAAACCATGCTGTTGAGGTGAGAAGAACTTTGAGGATGATAAGTGTTCTAGTATGCCGTCGAATACTAGGGATTCCATAGTTTTTGAAGGTATGGAGAGAAGGGCCACTGGTCGGTAGCTTGAGGGTTCACTGCGTCGACCTCCTTTGAAAATTGGTGTGATGTGGGCCAGCTTCCATATTTCCGGTAGTTTGCCTCTGCTTAGCGAGTGTGCAAACATCACGCTAAGTGGTGTTGCCAGGATTGAGGCTGGTTCCCTTAATACAGTGGAATGAACCATGTCCGGACCAGGAGAAGTGTCTTTTCTTATTTGCTGCAGTTTACGGAGCACCAGGTCAGCACTCAGGTCCACTTCGGAAAGTCCTGTACAGGTGCAGGTGAAGCTTTCGTTAGTATGGTTGATGTGGGTCAGCTGGAATGTCCGGGAGTATTGTTCAGCCAAAAGGTTAGCGGCATCACTGTCGTTATTGGTCGGGCCATTAGGACCAAGCAGTTGGGAAACTCCAGTTTTGCCTTGTCGAAGAGAAGCTGCATAACTGAACAAGCTTTTCGGATTGGAGACGAATCTATCGATAAGCTTGGTCTGGAACTGAAGCCTGTCTCCTCTTATTGCCTTTGTGCATATGTTCCTTATATGTTTGTATTGCCTGTACGCGCCGTTGTTCTCAGTTCGTTTATATTCAGCCCAACAGTGCCTTTTGCTGCTTAGCAAACGACGAGTGCGGTTCCTGATGATTGCAGGTTGCTTGTAGCTTTTTGGGACCATTTTAGGAACTGAATGCTCAGTAGCACATAAGATCGTGTGCAGTAAAAAATCCCAATGAGCATCCACTTCAATTTGAGGGTGAACATCCCAATCCACCTGTTGTAGATAGTCCTGTAAAGCTAACACATTCAACCGTTTGAAGTTCCAGCGCTTGTTGATAGTAGGATATCGTAGCTCCGTTTTGCTGACAAAGCTGAATGATAAGACGGCGTGATCACTTTTCCCCAGGGGAGCCAGGATTAAGAGGTCGTCAACTAGGAATTCTTCATTTGTGAATACCCGGTCTAAGCGTGACGGCGTCTGACTGTTTCTCCAACGGGTTGCCGACTTCATATTTTAAAATAATCCCAGGTTGCCGATAAGGTTGAAGAACAGAGCTTCAGTAGAGTTGGCACCACCAATGTATGTATGTTCCACGAAGTTGATTCTAGGGAGATTGAAATCCCCTAGAATCAGGATATGAGAGAATCCGAGACGCGTAGAGCGAGTTAATCCTTCCAGCAGACGTTTGTCATATTCGATGTCGGCAGTGGGCTTCCTGTAAACGACCCCAACTAGGCACCTCGAGGTGGTAGATAATCTTACTGAGCACCATACTGACTCGTCAAGATTGTGAAACTCTTGGTTGTGAAGTTGGTGCGCATCCAGGCATGACCGTATGTATAGTGCTACCCCACCCCCCATTCCTGTTTTTCTGTCGTTGCGATATAAAGACATCCCAGTTATTGCTAACCCTTGGTCCGTAAACTGAGACGTTATCCAAGTTTCGGATATTCCTATCAGATGGGCATCATTAGCGTTGCTAAGTTCACGTAGCTCATCCATTTTGTTTGGCAAGCTCGCGGCGTTCGTGTATAGGCAGTTTATGCTTTCAATTTGGAACGCGTGAGCTTCTTCTTGTTTGTCTATATGAGCCGTGTGTGAGTGGACAGGTAGCCTACCTATACGATGTTTACCGAGTTGGTAGTCCCTGTCCTTTACACGTTTTTTTTATGATCAAGACAGTCCACGAGTGGAATTGTCAGCTCCAGCTTTCGTTTGTGCTTGATCCTGCTGTCGTGGGGCCTATCCGGATGCATATGGATGCCAGTTGGCAACCGACGTCTATTGGCACGAAATGCTTCCAGAGTTGCAGCCGCCATGTGGGAGGAGGGGAAGGTTATCTTCAGCAGCCGGGGCCTAGAGTCTCCGTCTCTCTTGGCCAGTCGCATTACCTGTTGGGTCAATATGTTCCTGAGTTTTAAGGAATGATTGATGAATTTCCATTCCCGAATATCAGAGTTTGCTTGAGTTGGGTCCATATTTTCCGGCACACCGTGCACAATGATATTTCGTCCACGGAAAAACGCCTCGCGAGATTCCCTAGGGATGTTCCGGATGAGATTTCGTTCAGAATACGGTATGTCGGGCAATATTCTTACGTTCCCATCGGACTTCAGCAAGTGACTGGCTAGCAGGACGTCCTCTACGTCGGAGGCATTCTTAAGTGTAACACGAAGCAGCCTCGGGTGGTTTAGGTGGTTAGAGTCCTTCTCCCGAGTGAGCCGTGTGACGGTCAAAGGCTCTATTCTAGGGAGTTCAAGCCTCTTGTTTAATTCTCCGCAGAGCATCCTATCGTTTTTGTCCTGCAAACTGAGAGGAAGGTCGGGGTTGTAAATAAGGTTCATGATTATGACAGAGTCGTCACGAACCGCAATTGATTTCCCAGGTTTTCTAGGGCGTCTAGGTTTGGTATCTTGTTGTTCGGATGTCGAGGCGCGTTTTCGATTCCTGGGCTCAGTGATGACCGGGCGGACAGTCTTGGGTGTAGACTGTGCGGCCAAAGCATCAATTGATTTCCGCACGATACTTGGGACGTTCAGTTTCGGAGGGGACGCTTGGGCTTTATTACTCCTGTTAACGTGAGTCCATCCACCTACAGGATTTTTTGGAACCACTGTCTCATTCAAGGACCGTTCCCTGGGGGATCCAAGTTTACTGAGGGAGTCGATGACAGTCGATGTTAAGATGGTGCTGAGTTTCAGCACATCATCACTCGTGCTGTTAACAGCACCGTCGATAACCGACCTGTCAGTATCCTTTTTCTTATTTGCCCTATGCGTTCCAGCTTTGTTACCCCTCATGATGCTATCATTTACCGAATTCTTAGACAACTTATCTCTCAGACCTGTCAGTAAAGTAATGATAGTACCCAACATAACTACCGTATCGGTGTTGCAGGTAACACATACCCACCTACGATCAGACTTGCTGAGTCTGCTATAGGCTGCTGCTGTTAGATCTGTACATGCCTCATGGAACCAACCTTCACAGCTGTCACATTGCATGCCAGATGTAACGGCAAAACGGCAACCAGGTCTCTTGCATGAATTTTTCATGGCTAGTGATTTAGACTGTCTTAAAAATACAAGCAGTAAATTGAGGACCGTTAAAAAACACAGAGTAAACAAAAACTGGCAAAAATGTATAAAAACAGTTAACGATAAGCTAAAGCTAGCCTTTACGTGAAAACTATAAAAAAACCGATAGTGAGCTGAGGCAAAACCACAGTTAACTATTAATTTGAGTGAAACACAAAAAAAAGTAATCTACCGAACGTATAGCTCAGAATAGATTCCTTAGATTGGAAATGGTACTTTTGTTGCGTAAGAACACAGCAAAAGTTCGAGAAATGTAAATCACGTTAGGACTAAACTTCCCGTTTGAATAGCGCGCTTTTCAGATGTCAGATACTGTTCAAGAAAGGTACATGATATATAGCGTTTTACACTATCCTGTTTACCCTAGAAATATGTTATATATCTGAAATAAACTGAGGGATAAAGTTCAGTTGTTTGGACTCACGATGAGACTATTTTTCTGATGACGAGCCTAATATATGAGAAATTTATGATCAGTTAGCAGAGTGAATTCTTGGCATGCTACAGAGTGTTTTTCAAGCCGTATAGAACAAAACATAGGTGTGATTGAACATGATATGCTTGTGTTATCACTTCTCATGGATATTGGATATTGAAATGAACTTATAATTGTTGCCAATTCGCGCTTGGTTGTGTTGTCCGAATTTTTCAGTTATCAAGTCTTCTGTAAGTCAACTCGGTTAACTGTGATTCGAAATCGTAGCAGTTGCCTACAACTGTTTTGGTAATATATTATCAAAACAGTCTCATAGGACGAATAATAGTAATTGCATGATTGTGAAAATTACTGTAATTTCCAACTTTACTACCAGGCTTCTGATTCATCCACATGTATCAAGTTTACAATCTAATATGCTGAAATGCGATGGGAATCGTATGGTCTAAAACTTCAAGCAAACCAAGTTTGGGTATCTGTTAAACGTGTCAGTTTTGCGTTGGATTACATCATCAGTGAGTGATATCTGGCTTCATATCCTGGAAAACCTCGAAAATAACTGGGAAATCTTACTTAAGACCTTTCAGTCCGTTTAAAATATAAATCTAAGTCAGGAGCAAAACTAGTTTATGTTGACCTTTTAAAACAGCTCTATTGTTCTAATTGTTGATTACTTATCAAGACTGCTGTTTTCACTTTGAATTTATTTCAGTCAAAATATTCGCTAGGAGTGTTGTTTTTGTTTCTAAAGTAGTTTACTATGAGTACTTTGTTTCTGTTGTATTTGTTAGCACTTTTGGTGCTAATAATTCTAAGTTTTACATTTTTTTGGCCGTCAGTTTCTTTTGTCTTTGGGTATTATTGTATCTAGTTTCATTTTGAAAACCTTTTTGATGTATGGGCAATGCAAGAAAAGCAGTTGCCCACACCCAGACTGTCGATACCTCGTTAGAAGCGGCATGTGCGACGAGTGCATAAGATGGTACTACGACGTTTGTACGAATCTAACGCCTGTGGCTTTCAAACGGTTTGGTGAGAATGGTTGCGTGTGGTTTTTTCAGTAGTGCTGCTCGGACGCAAACGGCTTGCATGGTCGAGATACATTGGACAATGCTCGCTCTATCGATACACAAATTGATGTGATCACCTCAAATAAACTCAATAACAGTCGACTTACATGGATCAAAGGAGGAAAGACTGACTTCAAAGAGATCTGTCCGAAGTAAAAACTCATAAAAAGTTTCTTCTGTTCCCCGTCCCCAAAACGGTAGCCAGCAGAGAACGCCTAAAAAAACTAGTCGCAAGGCTATATCTGTTTCTAGCAGAAAAAAACAACCCGACCGCCCAAGTCGTCGATAGTCTTCCGGAATCTCAGTGCGTTTGACGCGACTGTGGTTGCTACTCCAACGAAAGTTGAATGGGTACAAGTGGAGAATAAGTAATGACATAACGCTATTAAAAAAAACCAACCTTTCAAAAAGTAACCGAGATATTAGAGACTGATCATAGTGACAGGCCACTTACCTTTCTTAGCACTAAGGATAGTGAAAGCCCAAAACCTAAAACTTGTTTTGAGCATGATATTGGGTTCATAAAACAGCTACTAAATCAGCTAGTGCCTCAGGATATCTCCGTTATCACCTTGCTAAAAGCATGTTGACTAGGTAGACGAATGAGCTTGTAACAAAACCAGGCTGCTTCAGGTAGTAGTTAAATCTTCCAATGGACAGAACTTAATACTATAGAATAGGCATAAGAGATCAGGACTTTTTTTTACCTGTAAGGACTGGCCGCTCACAGACCGCGTAGAAAGACGAGAAGCCGAAAAAACCTCGTAATTGTAAATTTTCGCGTTCTGAGGCCTCGACAGAGAATGGCGCTGAAGCCACCTTGGGTGCAGTACAAAACCATTCAAATAGGCTTCGGATCACCCGACCTTAGCTCCTACCTTGACGTGTTGGTCGGGCTTGCCTATCGTGATGAGCCAACCGAGCTATATTATCTGGAACATATGTTCTGTAGGTTCTACCATGCCAGACAAGTCGATTAAAGAACGGTAAGTCTAATAGCAGCAAATCAAGGTCTGAGGGCGAATTCGTATTGCTGACTGTAGAAAGGTGTGACAACAGTAAGGTGTTTCCCTCGGACAACCAGCATCTGCAGCAATGCTACCTTCTCACAAGGAAAAAAGGGTTAGAAAAGCTCGACCCTAAGAATGTCATGCCTCACCTTACCTCACGGATTTCCATCTCCGGCGGTAAGACGGCCCTTTGAAGAACGGAGCTAACACGTCAAAAATAGCCAACAAAAAGGCCGTGCGTGACCGTCCTCTAGCACTTGACTCTGAGGTCACGCTCCCAGGTCGTTAAGACCAACATTAATCCAACTTCCTTTTCAGGTTCCTCAAGAAATACCCTTTCACGGTGTGGGAAGCCGGGAAGTTCCAACATACCCGTAACAGCACATGAGATTAAGTTGGTCACATTCAAATCCTTCCCAGACCTGATAACTATTTTATCTCCACGACTAACACTTTTCACGTCCTTTTATCACCTCGCTTCGGATCTGTTACACAAATGTCCGAAACTGGCTCAATAAACGATCGAATCTAGGTGTACGGATTGACCAAGCCGGATTTAATCGCAGTCACAGAAACTTGGCTGACGTTGTCTGTAGGCAGTATGGAATTTGATTTTGAAGTTTTCACGTTTGAAAGAGCCGATAAAATCCAGAAGTGTAAAGGAGGAGTAGTTCTATTCATTAGGAATACTATCCCATTTACCATTATCAACAGTGTATCCCATGAGAGTCGGACATGTAGATTGGTTAGTTACCACTTGAAATGCAAGGAACAAAAGCTGTTGATTGGTTTGGTCTACCGAAGTTCAAGCTGTGGGGTTAATGAGGTCTTGCTAGGCAGTCTCAATACTTGGTCACAAAGTGGTCGATGTCTAATCCTAAGAGACTTTAATGGGCCCACTTTAGATTGGGAAAACATGAGGACTGAATTGTCAGGAAATTCCTTCAAGCATGAACTAGTTAATGCAGTTATCATATATGCCCTAGTGCAACATGTGAAAGGAGCAACTTGGTACGATCCGGACTCTGAATCATCCTTACTAGATCTTATATTGACCTGTTATAAAGATGGCGTCATGAACCTCGATTACATGCCGCCCCTTGGTAAAAGTGATCATACAGTTATAATCTTTGACTTCCATACAATTGTCAAAAAGGAGCACGCGTTAGCCTAACCCAGACCTGACGTCTGGAGAGCAAATAACGAAGATATTATACACTCTGCATCGTCAGTAGATTGGACAATAGAACCGGAATCCCCGATTGAAACAGTTTGGGATTTATTTTGAAACTTGTACTTAAGAGTCACTGCGCCCCACATCCCTTGGACAACACTAAGGGGTCCGAGAAACTTTCCTTCATGCTTCAGTAGGGAGGTTCGCACCATTCTCCGTAAGGGGAGAAGAATTGGGGAGATATAAAGGTTACTGGACACTGATGAAACAAAATCCTAACATTGAGAAGATCGAAATATTTGTAACTCGAACCTCCTCAAGTCTAGGTTGTACGAAGAAGAAATTGTTAAAGAATCTATAGAATGCCCTAAACGCGTGAACTACGTTGTTAGTGGGATATAGATTGGATTAAAGCATGTTTCATGATGGTGTTGCTGCGCGCTGATTGGCGAATTCTAAACCGATCAGCCCGGGCATATTATTGCAGAAAAATCTATAAGCTTCTTATGTATATACTATAAATATATGAACGTTATTTAAACTATTGATTGCTGTTCACTTATCATTATTATTTTGAATACAATTCGATTCCTGTTCAACGTGATCTGATTTTGGGGTCTTGTCGAGTGTCATCGTGTAAGAATACTAAGCAATAGGAATAGCTGGGTCGTTTATATAGCAAAAATACAATTATAACAGTGGCGACGAGGAAAAAGGAAAATTCATTCAAAATGCCTATATCAGATGACCAGCTCAGCCGAATACTACAACAACAGCAAGCACAACTTGATGCACAAATGCGGTTATTGGAGACTCTGATGCAACAGTTTAGCATCCAAAACTCGAGTTCACATGCTGTTTCAAGTACTTCTTGTGATGCAGTTACTAACAGCATCCCAGAATTCATATATGACCCAGAAAGTGGAAATACCTTTCTCACGTGGTTCAAGCGTTGGGAAGATACATTTAGAATAGAATTCTGTCAACAAGATGACGCATGGAAGATCCGGTTGTTGATGCGTAAGTTGGGAAGCAATGAGCATGCACGTTATGCTGATCATATATTGCCAAAGTTACCTCGAGAGCTCAGTTTCGAGGAGACAGTATTTCAGTTGTCAGAGATTTTCGGCGAATCTTCCTCATCGTTTAGTATTCCATATCAGTGTCTGAATTTGGTGAAACGAGAAGCCGATGAATATGGTGTTCTAGCAGACGTCGTCAACAGAGAATGTGAAAAGTTCAAGTTACGCTCGTTGACAGAAGATCATTTCAAATGCCTTATATAATAATCAGTGAACAGCAATCAATAGTTTAAATAACGTTCATATATTTATAGTATATACATAAGAAGCTTATAGATTTTTCTGCAATAATATGCCCGGGCTGATCGGTTTAGAATTCGCCAATCAGCGCGCAGCAACACCATCATGCTTTAATCCAATCTATATCCCACCAACATACGTTGACTTCAGCATTATTCCTCTTGTATGTAGATGGCCTTCCTCGTCTCCTATCACTGGTCTTTCTACATGCTGACGATGTCAAGATATGGAGAGCGATGAAAAGTAAAGGTGATAGCTTAGAGCTTCAAAATAACCTGGAGAAACTATCTGATTGGTCTCAAACTTGGCAGTTGCCGATAAATACTTCCAAGCGCATTGTGATGCATATTGGTCAAATGCCCTGGTACGGCCGAGAGTGGGGAGAGTCTGCTCTCCCTCTCGAAATGCTCTCATATGGCCACGCGAATATATAGCCTCTGCCAGGGAAGTCCTACTCACTGCCTTCTCGTGGCGGGGGTGTTGTTCACGAAAGTGAGAGGACGAAAAGCGAATGTCCGGCGCTTTAACCGGGTTGGTGGATGTGGAGGATCCACCTAGGGGAGTTGGCAAACCCTGATTCCAAACCAAGGGTGCACATGGGCTCCAGTATCCTGATGGAACGAATGGCGTATGAACCAACTGTTGGTCACCGGCTACCATGGGACTGCATCTCCTTACGATGCTCCACTGCCTTGTGAACTAGACCTTTAGGTCAAAGGCTCCGGGTGTGGCCCCCTAAGAAAACCACCTGCTTCAGTCTGGGCAGCATCACAGCCCTCACACAAATCGAATGAGATTTGTGAGGCGCATATTTATCTGGTGCTTCCTTGTACCAATATTTATGTGTTTAAATAAAATAATAAAATAAAAGGAGTCATTGTCAGTCAAGACTTACAAACTGCTGCACACTGCTTTGCAATACCCTGCAAAGGTTTTAGAGCCTTACGGTCAATACGTAGGGTCTTAAGCCATGTCGACGCTAAGAATTTGACTTTATATACAGTATTCGTGCGTCCTAAACTTGAGTATTGCATGAAAGAGGCTAGCTCCTGCTTAAAAAAACACTGAGCTTATGGGAAAGTTTTGAAGTACAGTAATTAAGCTGCTTCTCGTAATAGCGAGGCTCCCGTATGATGCTCGACTGGCTAAACTAAACATATTCCCATCAAAGAGCCAAATGTGACTTGATTACAGTTTTCAAGTTACTTAGTGATAAATTTGCATCTGATATGCCCTCACTTTTCTTGTCTTCCGAAACAAAGAATTTACAAGGACACTGCATAAAAGTTCCCAATCCCAGGACAAATTACTTGTCAGCTGACTATCAACTTTCCCATCGAATTATCAACGAGTGTGCTTCATTACCTCAACTCTTTCAAAAGCAAGTTGGATCAACTTAGAGACCACCGTTTTTAAGACTAACGCAGGCCACCTAGCCACCTGTCCTTTACAAACTGAAATTGAACTAGTGGAAGCCTCTCATAACAATGTATATTAAACGACCTTTGTTACGATAATAACAATATAAATCTGATGCTTTGCCGTTTTGAAGTTCATGCTCAACAGCGAAGCAATATAAGGCTATTGACGAACTCCATACATGTCACACGTTTTCGTCATACTAAGCAGTTGATTATACTTAAAGAGTTTTGAAGTTAACGTTTCTAATTTTTCCTTGATGTCAGACTTTTGATTTATATTAAGATGGCTTCACTGAATGCTCACCTGATATTTTTCAGGTCGTGCGTCTAGTCATACAATGACTGGTCAACGGCGCTCCATCAAGAGAAACTCCACCAGAAAGTCAGATGTTTTGCCAGAAGAGAGGTAACAATTTTTTACTACGCTCCACATTCCTAGAACGTTCGTAAATCCATCAGCTTTGAGTCCTCATCTCTCCTGTCCAATATGTCAAGAAATTTTCTGGAATCCCCAACGTGCTCCATGTGGTCATAGTTTTTGCAAGAGTGTAAGTTTGTAAATAAATGCTTCTTATGTTTATACTTATCATACTTCAGAAATTCATAAAAATACAGGTTCCTTGTGTTTCGTAAACTCCTATCCTCATAATGCTATTATATTTCATTTATTCGTTTTCTGCCAAGTATTTAGGAAAGAAATATGCATGTAGTGATAAGGTACGATATTTTCTGTTTTCATAATTATAAATTTAACAGTCAGCCTGATGCACCTCTGTTATGAAAGCTTATGGTGTAATAAAAACATATAGTAACATATCACTGATTTCGATCTCCACCCGGCAACTGCTTTAATTAGAAAATAATCTTAACCATAACCACTCGGTTGTCAAATTACGTACAAGTGGTCAGTCATTCAGTCAGCTACAACGTAGGACCAGGCACATTTATGCGTCGGTCCAAGTTGCCAAACCTCGTTAGCACAACAAGATGAACACCGCATTCATAGAAGTAGTTAATTTAGTGATCGTAGTATATAAAAGATAGGTTGTATATAAGGATATAGTATAGGAAGGATGAAAGTTATGAAGCAATTTTAATCTTAAGGTTTAAGGGCACTGCGGTCACGCTATCAGGTCACTATGACCACTTCTAACTCGAATTCCCTTTCCGATACCTCTAGAAAAACCCTTCCACGGTGTGGGCGACAGGGAAGTGATAACTGCCCTCATACCTCTAACAGCACTCAAGATCACTGTATTCATAATCAATCTCCTTCTTCAATTCCTACTATTCCTTCTACCTAGACTTTCAACTCTAAACTTCCTCTTTTGGCTTCTACCTCAAGTATCACCATGGCTAACGATTCTAGTGCGTGAAACATTGTCTCAGATTTACTCAAAACTCGCTCCAAACTACATATTGAAGCCTTCAACGTACGTACCTTAAGTCAAATTCCCATCAGACCTCCTTGGCTAACACCCTAGAATCTCCTACGATTGATGAATGCTGTGTCTCCGAAACACGCATACTGGATCCTAGTGTGGTCATTCAATTGACCATACCTCGCCAAAACAGAGAACCGACGAGATACACCCTCCGTGTATCTGGCGACCCGATGGCTAGTTCTCGTGGACTGGTAGGTGTAGGCATGGCACTTAGTACAAAGGCAGAACAAGCACTATTAGAATGGATCCCCGTTAACAGTCGCCTATGTGATGTCCGGCCAAATGGCTGCGTGAGACCTCGGAATGATGGGGTCACACGTCGTTGCCTTTTCGTCGTTTCTGTCTACGCTACTACTGACTGCAGCCCGGATGAAGTGAAAGATGACTTGTACAGAAAGCCATCTGAACTTCAAAAAGCTAAGCGCTCAGACAAATTACTCGTAGCGGGTGACTTTAATGCTCAATTAGGCAGCTTAAACCAAACAAAAAGACATTTCTGTGGGTATTTTAGTATTCCGGCTTAGCGAACAGATAATGGTGATAGTGTGTTACAACTATGTTCAGACAATCGTTTATTTTTAGCAAGCACTAATCTGAAGCATAAGGAGAGACATCGTCTGACATGGCGACCACCTGCACCAAACCAACGATGGACTCAAATAGAGCATAGTGCCATCAGTCATCATTGGAGAGGCTCGATAGAAGATTGTTGCTCGTATTGGAATACATATTTTGACTCTGATTACGCTTTAGTACGAGCACGAATTTGTCTGAGCCTCACTGGACGCAGGAAAACTACACTAAGAAGACCCATTAGGATTAAGCTGGATGACGAGAAAGCCAAAAGTAATTTCCAGGAACAACTGAGTTCACATCTAGACAGTTCTGTAAATGACAATGACCCAAATGTTGCTTGAAAAGATATACGAACAACTGTGGAAACAGAAGTAACATCTATTAGTAGTTTAAACCAAAGGGTTCCAAAAAAACCAATGGATTTCTAAGTCTATTTCACTGATGGATTCGCATAAACTCATCCCATCAGGTTCTGAACACGATGAAGAGAAAACAAGTCAGATCTAGGATAATCAAAAGTCTACGGAACGATCGTGAGTAGCAATGGGCAACGAAATGGAAAAGGCAGCGGCTGTAGGCAACACCAGACAACTCTTCAGACTAATAAAAGAAACCGGAATTAATAAGTCAAGTGTAAGCGAAACAATCTCGGAGAAAGACGAAACCTTATCTGCTCTCAGCCCAGACGTTTAGAACGAAGAGCGGAACACTTTAAAGAACAGTTTAGCTAGCCTTCAGCTACTTTAGAGTTACCCATCATTCCCAAAAAGCCTGAATGGAACATTGAAGTCCCCCGACTCTAGCTGAAGTTCAAAAAGCTATAGCCAGTCTGAAACGAGGAAGGGCAGCTGATCCAATTGGATTGGCTGTAGAAGTCTTTAAGTATGGTGGTCCAATTTTAGCGATTAGGTTGACTAATATTTTGGCTAAAATGTGGCAACAGTTTTCTTTGCTATTTCAGGAAGCAGGGCAACTTTAGAAGGCTTCCCTTTTTTTAATAACTGGCACTTCAGGTTCATGATGAACGATTTCCTTGATCTTCTTAGCTTTGATTGTCATTTTCGGCTTATTGGGCGTGCTTAATAATTTAAGGTTAGACGTAATCTCATCTGACTGGTTACAATCACTGGTCGTCCCAATATATAAGAAGGGGTCAAAGTCATCCTGTGACAATCATAGAGGGATTAGTTTGAGTAATATAGCATCTAAAATACTAGCCTCAATAATTATCGGGTGCCTAAATAGGACTCGTGAACTGCAAACACAAGAAAATCAGGCTGGTTTCAGACATCGTCGTGGCTGTATCGACCACATATTAACTATTCGTCAGGTTTGAGAGCACAGACTTGCTTATCGCGTCCGACGATGGTGGTCTTTATTGACTTGAAATCAGCATTTGACTCTGTAGACCGAGAGGCTCTGTGGCAGTGTCTGTCATTGCAAGGAGTACCTCAGAAGTACATAAACCTTGTGAAGGCTCTTTACTCAAACACTACCAGTCAAGTCAGAACTTATGGTGAACTGTCATGTGATTTTGCAACCTCAAGTCTGTCCACTATCTGCATTTCTGTTCAATTTCATAACAGACCAACTGTTGGAAATGACCTTCTCGTCGTCTGAATTTTCGGGAATCTTCCCGTTACCAGCAGGTCCACTCATCGCAGATGATATAGTTCTTTTTGGTGAAGACGCTGATAAAATGCAGTCTTCTGTTAGAACTGAGCAACAATGCTAGAATGTTTGGGATGTTTTTCTCTTTCTCTGAATGCAAATTGTTGCTTCAGGACTGGCCTGTGTCAACAACTGAATCAAGGATAGGGATGTCTTAGAAGCATCATTGGTGTGTAGTATGGCTAAAAAATAAATGATAATATTTGTTTCTAAATACGGGGAACAGCTATTACGGTGCGCATAAAGTTGTGATTCATCATAAACTTAGTTGGGGCTCGTAAGAGCATTCACTAATTGCTTTGATTTATTAGTAGAAATGGGCGTCTGTATATTAGGTCATTGACTACCAATTTGTGCTGTATTCGTTAAAGGCATATTATTCAAGTGTGTAGGATGATCTTAGTTGTTTAAGATACTTTATTAAAATGATAAAAGTAATTTTCTGTCAAAGTACCAGTCCTGTTTGATCTATGTTTTTAGTTTCTAAAAATCGAATGTTAGCCCTCGGTTTGTCGTTTTACTGGGATACAAAATTTAAGAGAATTGGGTTTTGTGGAGATTTCAGTAATTTTATATAGTTGAGATCATGAGTCAATCGAAGCTAAACCACCATCGAAAACCTGGAAGCACTGGACGGTCGTTTCGTCCTATTGTGGGACTCCTCAGCAGTGTGCATCCACAATCCCGCCTCGCAAGATTCGAACTCAGGACCTACCACTCTCGCGCCAGTGCACTTAACAGATAGACCACTGAGCCGGCATCCGTTAGTGTTAATGTCTAACTTCAACCAATTCACGAAATTGAGCAACTAGTCAACAATGTTATCAGTGAGTTGATATCTCCCAACAGACCTGTTTGAACTCCACTCGTCACTGCTTCTCACTAGAACTCCACGAAATATCTCTTGAAGCCAGTCACTCGTGAGCATATGATTATAATCAGAAGGGGTTTTGTGGAAATATTTTTAGATCCACATTTTTAACCCGAAAGTCATTCACTTGTGACCGTAACCTTCATCTCGCTTCACTATTGTGACATCGTGAAGTGGTTCTTATGTCTTAAGAAACTGATTTACGTGTAGCGTTTAATATCTTTTCTTTACACATAAGAAAATACCATCTGTACACCAGATGATTCTTACCATACGGTAAATATCTTCGAAGTTACTTTTATGTACTTTCAGTGTATTGAGCCATGGATTCAAAATACTCCCAACTGTCCAGTGGACCGTAAAGCGATTCCAAAAGGATCAATGCATCATGATTTTATTGTGGAAAATATAATAGGTGATTATGTAGTAAGTCATTTTGTTACATTTGGTTCAAAGCATCATACAGTTTCTATTTCTGCTTCCATGTATTTTTTCGTTCCGTATTCCCGGTGATTAGATTGTCTTTTCTTTCAGACTTGAAATGAAATCAATCAAAAAGTTATGTGCTGTAAATTTTATAAGGGAGACAGTAAAATTCCATCAGAAACGAATTTAATTCATTGTTGATTTGCTAATTACATATTCATATGTATACCTATTACATAAGGGTAGATGGATATAGAGCAAACTTCTAACATGTTGCCCATCGGTTGAAGTCCAGACATCTCAGTCATTAAGCTTGTTTAACATTTTTCATATAACGCCGTTAATTCATGCTTTAAGTAGGTCCACAAAAAATAGAGTATTCATGTAATTATGTCAGGATAACTACAGAAAAGATAACTTTTATAGAAATGTGTATGAATCGTACGATTTTGTGAAAACGTGGAAAAACTAAAAAGATTTAACCTATATATATATCAGACGTTCTACTCTTCGGCAGTTTGTAAATCATTTATTTATGCGTTGTTGACAGGTCATCAACTTTTCATCTCAAGAAAAGTAGTCGTACTGTAACGCAAACTTATTTAAAGTATCCAAATGTCCTCTCTTTCAGCACAACATACGTTACAGAAATCATTGCCACCCTTTAAAATTTAGTATTTATTTAGCGTTACAAATTTCATAAATTTTCTTGACACTTCTAAATAGTATATAACTTCTTCCACTGTCTTTCCTTTATTCTTCATGCACTAATAATCACTGGCTACGTTTATTTCAAAGACTTTCATCAACTTACACTAGTTTCTCCTGTTCGAGTTTCGATCCAGTAGGGTTTTCTTTTCATGGACGGAAATTCTTTTGATGTCCCGTTAATATTTTACTGACTGTCTAATATACACTTTTAACATTTCCATCTTTGAAATAATCATAAAGTTTTAATTTTCCTGTGTTTTGTCACTTTTAGATCTATACATGCTTCCACTTGGAAATATTTGGGACTAAATTATGAGATATCAGGGAATCTTATGATAGATGGTTATTACTGTAGAATCTGTTTGGATTCAGTGTTAAGTTGATGGCAGTCTCCACTAGGTTGAAAATTATTTCTACTTATGTCTAAAGTTTGGTGCTTACTTGAAATAAATGATCATTAGAGTATGGTTGTATCAAGCTGTCAATTATCTATCCCGCTAGTTACGATTAAGAAAGGATTGTTTTAGTACTTTCTGTTCGAATTAGTCTGGTTAATTGGGTGCATTTTAGTCCTTCCTGAAACTTTCAGTTCTATTTAGTCAAACAACGTATAACCAATTGTCCATTGGGATTCTGTGCAGAAGTGGGACGATGAATACTTGCTATGTAGCCTGCGACAACTCAATAAATCATTCCTACTAGTCATGTTAGATTCTGCAAGTAATAAATTTTGTATCCTTTATACGAGCTCCGGAGACTTATTCACGAATGCCAGGATTTTGGAGTTCTGGTTAGTGCGTCTGATTTAAAACAGAATCTGAATATTAGAATCTGTGTTATGGAAAATGACTTCAAAAGACTAAGGATGTCTCTCCATAAGTTATTAGCGCGGTCTGTAATTTCGGAAAATGAAAAGTAGTAACATAAGTATGGAAGTATCCAGGAACAAATTGATAGTGAAAAGCTTAAACGAAAGAAATGCTAGAGGTTTATAAGCTATCAAAACTTACCGGCTGATCGTAGTAAGGGAAAAATTTTATTAATTGTAAACTTATAAAATCAATGCTGAACATTTACTATATTTGGAAGTCTGATCATTCAAGCTAAGAAACATCTATGGTCGGCCGGTTACACGTTTATATAGCATATTTACTGTTACTTCTGTAGAGTTGACTTCATAGTTTTTAAATCTTGTACCAGCTCAGTTTGCTCGTGAGGAAAGAAAGGTTGTGTAATTTTTAAGTCTGAATTTCACTTACCCTTCCTTCCGTTTGTTTGATATCAGGATATTTCAAGATGTTGACTTTCTATGGGAAACACGTTACTGCCACTACATCCCGTTATGGTTAGCAGTGCGACTACGTACTTTATCTTCAGACTAAATCCAACTGTATTAGGACCGGCCATATTTTCGCCAACTAAATAGCCTAATGTTTGTGTCAATGAGCCGTTTTTGGTTTTCAGTAAGTTGTTTATACTGTGTTTTAAATTGTTACAAAAATAAACTTGATAAAATCCAGTACATTTGTTATGGATTTAGTGACAACAATATCTGTTTTTCATTGTTACTTTACCATTCATTTTCGCAATGCATTAAATTTCCCTTCAGGTCGCATGTCCTTGGCGTGCACTTGGATGTGATTTTATTGGCCAGTTATGCCTTTTATCTGGTCATAAGAAAACATGTGTCATGAATCCAAGTACTATGCCTCCAGCTCTTCGTGCTCATACCACAGCTTCCTTAAACAAAGTTAACAGTAATCAATCTCTAGATATAAAATCTTATAAAAATAATCAACAGTCGTCAGTAAAAGTTAGTTTTGTGTTCCAGTCACAACTTCCCTCGAATACAATTACAACGGCAGAGAGAATTATTGATGGTAATCAATGTTCGAATAGTCATAATGTTGAGTCAAGAAATGGCTCAAGTTCCTACAATGATGCTCATGAAGAAAGTGTTATACTTTTTAGTGATGATGAAGCTGATTTACCGCCTGCTCCACCACCCAGTCTCTTGTTTCGACTATACCATAATTCTGATGCGGATAGTCGTGATTTATTATGTGATTTTATACAAAATGGTTCAAATAGTACAACTCAGTCCTCTAGTATTAACAATAAAAACAAGGATGTTCCTAATAAACGTGGACGTAAAAAATAACTTAAATGCAATACTGTCCCGGTTGATTTCTTAAAGCATTTTAAATTTGTGCTTAATCTTTTACTTAATATGTACATTTGTAAACACTAACTGTAATGTTTTCTTTTGCAAGTTGTTTAAAAAAAAGATTGATTGTTGTGTTTCAAAATATGTGTATTCCATGCTAATTCTCTCGCTAACTTCAAACATAAGGGGGAAAATTACGTTGGTGAAGATATGGCAGCTCATTTGAATTGCACTAAACCGGAATTCCGACATCGCTCAGTCACTGGCAACACTAATTACAAGTGATGCGAAAAAGGTGTTATAATTACGCATTAGTTTTAGCGTGCTTTCTACTCTTTGTGAACATGGGTCCCCCAGTATGTTAAACCGAGTGAATTGCTCTGTTTGCTTTTGAGAATTCTAGGCGCGTGGTCTACTAAATGCGAAAAAGTAGTCAGCTATCTTGTGATACCGAATTAGCTTTGAATTGACAATTATTTTCTGTTCAAGTTCTAAGAATCTGTCACAAACCAGCCCAATGTGGTTAGTGTTGATAGAATCTCATTTTACCGTGGTTTGTTCTCTTGATGAATACTTTGTGAGTTGTCCTGATGTGCAATGTTGACTGCTAAAGTCGATACGTATGTACAGGAGACCCTAGATATTACATATATTATAAGTAAAGATGGATGGCTTATTTATAAATATTGGTACAAAGGGGCACCAGATATATATGGGCCACACAAAACTATCAGGATGGAAAAAAGAAAAGGAGTAAGATGCATATATAAAAAACAGGAGAAACTCTTTCAGGTAAAGAAATTAGGTTCACTTTTTATGACGAAAAAGTAAAAGAAAGTTAAAGCAGGATCGCCACTGACTTCTAATCTAAGCCATATCTGATAACGTCTCTAGCCAATGTGTTGCACCATCTCTCGGACCCCAGCTAGGGAGTCGTGAAAGACCAACAGAAGCCAACCCTTTGCAGCTTTCTTTCATACCACGACACCATGTCATACACTGACCACCTCTCCGCTTTTTCCAACCACTCCCAGAGTCGGCAAATAATGCACGACGTGGAATTCTCTGGGTCGACATTCGTAAAACATGTCCAAGCCACCGAAGTCGGTGTTTCAATATGGTGACACCAAATGAATTATAGCCCCTGCGCCCGAACACACGGTGCCGAACCTCTACATTACTAACATGGTGTTGCCACTGGATGTCAGCAATCCTTCGGAGACAACGATGATCAAACACAGAGACGTCCAACATCCTCAACTCGGAGAGGCCAGGATTCACAAGCATAGAGCAAAATTGCTCTCACCGACGCGTTGTAGATCCGACCTTTTACAGCCAGACTAACATCACGAAGGCGCCAAAGATGGCCCAGATTGGCATAAGCCGCTCTGACTTTCACTTTAAGTGGATCGATCTCATCACTCACGTTCCGCCAGCACTTATGCACCTACCTAGATACACGAACTTCTCAACTACTTCAATCTGCTCACCACTCAAGGTGAGTACAGGATTAGAATCCTGCCAGTCTTGTAGGAGTACTTTGCACTTCGAAGGTGTAAAGCGCATACCGTACCCATGGACACTGATTAATTGCGGATTGTATGGCTTGGGCATTACCGCATACTCAAGGTCGAGGTTTTTCTTCAGGCAACAGATCCACACCGCCATTACTTACATCCACCAGAGCTGTTTCTAGAATGTCATCGTTAGCAAAGTTGAAAAGGAATGGTGAAATTGATCAACCCTATCTAATCCCACTGCTTGAATGTAGCAATTGAGAAAAGTGGTTGTATGCCGTCACTCTACCTGAGGTGTTTGTATATAGAGTTCTTTAGGATGTTAATAGACCTCTCAGCCACACTTCTTCAATAGAAGGGTGGCTAGTATTGGAATTCCGAACGCAAGTTTCGACCTATTCGGAACTTGTCAGTTTGATGTGCCAGCATCACAGAGTTGATGCTGACTACCGGAGTCGAACCCGGTTACGTTCGCTTCAAACGTCAGTGCGTTATCCACATAGCTACTGAACTCTGACAGCCACCTGCTTGTGCAATGAGATGACGTTTGAATTCACTTGGTATTGTCCGTATCGTCTCCTGTTAGTATATGTGCTAACTGTCACAAGCTTGATAAGTAAAGAGGGATGGTGGCTAGCAGTGTAACGCGCGTCATAGATCTCATGTATTCCTAGTTTCCCCAATTGGCAAATGATTTGTTCTCTGTTACAGAAGGTTATCACTGACGACATCTGAGAAATGTCTATAGTATCCTGCGTAAATAATCCTTTATTATAACTGTACTTATTCGATGTTGATGCATCAAGCTTCAGCTCCGTGCACCTGAAATGTTTTAAGGTTGGTGTTGGAAATTTAAGAAATGTGTTCCCTGACATTACGTATGGAAGTAGTCTGAAAAAGCAATGAATTGGAAGGAAAGGTTTGTGAAGAAAAAATGAATTACTAACTAGTGGAACTTATTTTCACAGGTCCAACTGCTTTAAAATGACAGTACAGGACTTATACTTGTTTGTTTCATAAAAACTAGCGTAGATTGTGAAATGCTTTAATGATATAAACTGAGAAATTATTGATAAACAGAAGTATACAATGAGGACATCAGTAAAGCGTTAGCTTTCCGAAAATCCGACTAACAAATTGTAAGAAGACTATTGTAGATATACGCGGATAAACTATTTTGACTAATTGAATTTCTTTCCTGAACATCAGTTCCCAAAGGATAGCACAACTCCCGATTCAAATCAAAAGTATCGCAGGGATCGACAATATATAAACTCAATACGGTCAGTTTCAACGCAGAACTTGGTACGTATATACATGTGTTCAAGTTGCCATACCCCATAAGCATAGAAATGAGATTTTCAGGCCAAATCTCAGAATACTAGAGACAGTTACAGTATCAGTGGGATTACGAAGAATTAGGTATCGAAGATACGAGTCGGAAAGAGAATAAAAATTACTGAAGTACATATAAACAGAAGTTATGAGGAGTTCAGGGAAAGACAACAAACGGATGCACCTGCATCATTGCAAACAATTTTGAGTCACGTCACTCAAAGTCTTTAACTATTAGTCTACATATTTCCGCTTGTCATCGCTAATTCTTCGCTGTCAGTACTCATATTACCGTCTTGCCTTAAAACCCAGTGGGTGTAGTGGTGCTAGTTTCTTCAAAGTGCTCTACTCACTCGTTCTAGTGCTTCGTTTCCCTTCTTTGTCCCTGACTGATCTTTGTGGTCCACTGTACTTCACAACAGGCTTCTTGATTGTCACACATTTCTCTCACGCGTCCTTCTCTTGCAGCTTATTCTGATGTGGTTGGTAAGTCTTCTACATATTTCCTCTTGTGATCGCTAATGTCCCGCTTCACTCATTTATCTGCTTCTGTATATTCGACCTGTTCGTTGGTTTTCTCTGAGTTTGTTCGTCCGTTGTTGAATGTTGCCTCCTTGTTTTCCATTCTTAAGTTTCCCTAACGATGTTTACAAACATCCACTTTTCTGCTGGTGCTTCTTGGACCCTAACACCTGAGATGTTGAAGTTATCACTTCTTTAGTGCCGTTCCAGTTGCTCTCCATAGTGGTTTCCTCTTTTTCTAGTAGATCTTGTAAGACTGGGAAGCTGTTTCTGAGAGCTGTCTTGAACTCGGTAAGCTTGTTAGTCTCAACGGAAGGTTGTATTAAACTTTTGTAGTGCTGTTGTCCAATGCCCGTTTAACTTCAGTTATATCTTGGCCATCACTAGGTGGCAATAGGAAGTTGTATTAGCTCTTCCGTCTGTTCTCACTTATTGGATGAACTTTCTGAATGTTTTATTCCTGCATGTTAGATCGGCTTACAATAAACTTTATCAGAGCCTCCAGAGAGGCTCATAAAGAGACCAACCAATCAGCGATTAGTTAGAAGCTATGCTACTAAAATAACAAGGTCCTGATTGGCTGTTAACATACTGTTACTATGGGATCTCAAGGTCTTTTAGCTACTATAAAACCCCTGTTTTTCTGTACATAATTGAACCTTGTAGTAAAGTGCTTCTCTGATACTCGTGTCTTCTCTCTGGTCTTCCAAGTCGCTGAGTAGTGCTAGCCTGGGGTTATCCGAATAGCTAGGATCCGAATAAAACGTTCAACTTACGAGTCATAACAATTGGCGACGGGGATTCTGGAAAAAAATACAGCAGTCGGTAACGTATTTTGGAATTAAATAAGCTGTAATAATTGCCGGCGGGTTTTGGAGTTATTATTAGCAGTAAAAAAATGACGATTTCTCTGGAACAGTTGCAGATAATATTAGAGCACCAGCATCAGCAGATGTTAAGCTTCCAGCAGAAACTATTTGAAACATTTTTGGACAAATTTTTCACTAAACAAAACGTCTCAGGAAATAAAGAATTTATTTATAATGCAGATAATGGTACGGAAATGGCCGTCTCAGAAGAACGCCAATTTGAGGGTTCAATTCCCTTTATATCTGACAGAAAATGCAAAATTGGTAAGTTGGCCGGTTCAGAGCAAGACAATATCTTGCCTAATGCACATGAAACTGTGACAGTATCAGATGAGCAAGAAAAAGAAGATTCCGCAGACAACCCCAGGAGTCCAGAATCAAATGAAACACCATTAAGTCCGCCCATATCTGAAGACAAACTTAAGTTAGAACAGAACTACAGTTTGCGTGATGTTGGCCAAGAAAACTGGAAGAACGCATGTCCAGAAAATAACTGGAACAGTACAGTTAACCAAATTGCGCCAAATGTGATTCGAAATCATGGGGAGACAGAAGCCTATAATATGGGTTCGCGTAATGATGCCCATAATTCTGATGAAATTTCGTATAAAGATGAGAAAACTAAGTCGGTCGAATCAGATGGTGATCAAAAATCTAATGCGAATTTATTAGATGCCGATTCTCCTAGTTATCTAATATCCTCTAGTGAAAATTTTAATGAATTTGATGGAGATATTTCAGAAAAGCTGAA